CTCCAGGCTCTGCTCCACTCACCCCCAACCCAGAGAGAAATGAAATTCTTCCCTCTCTGAAACAATGTCCCTTGGAATGATTTTGCCCTTAATGAGCCCCGGCTGCGCCGCGGAGCCGCTGGTGTGCGTGTTAACAAGGAGCTCTCTCCGGGTGGAGGAGCCGAGCTGGCCGGCCCTGTAATGGGAGGCTGTTCAGCATCCTGAGCCCTGCATTAGGCTGTGCCTGTAGGAACCCTGGGATGTTCCAGGGAGGCTGCCTGAAGGTAATCATCTCTCCCAGCCTCCTGGCTGTCCCTCACCGAGCTCTCCGCTTGTAGCTATTCCAGGAAACGGCTCCGGAGGTGGTAAAGTTTAGCCCCTGATTTATTCACCAGCAAAAGGGGGGAGGAGATGCCATTTGGTTATGGGTGAGAAGGGAAAATGCAGGGGGCTGGTTGGGATTTGGTTGTTGAACCCTGTGAGGGGTTGGAAGCCCTGGGACTTCATTGTTTGGTTCGGCCAAATCATGAGCAGGACCTGAAAAACATCATCACCTTCAATTTGTCTTCGAGTCCTGCTTGACCCAAGTGGTGCATCCCAGCACTTCCCATCCCAGAAACCTATTTCAGGCATCACATCCACTTAAATCCACATTTTGTGTGTGTCAAACACACACATCACAGAGAGTACAACATATATAGATAGACAGATAAATAGATACACATTTATATCAGTGTATGTTACACAGAACAACTCCATTCTGTGGAAATTCAGGGAAAAAAAGGAGTTCTTCCAGATCCATTCCCTCATTGACAGACCAGCAGAAAAACAAAATGCCTCTCTTCTAGAAAAAAAAAAAAAATCAGCTAATTTATTTTTCAAAGTTGTGAACTCATTAGCTGGCAACTATTGTTCCACCCACCTTTGCAGCCCCTCAATGGGGTCACAAAAAACCTGCCCAGAGCTCCAAACACACCTTTGTCAGCGTGTACTGAGAAGTGCTAAAATAAAATGTTGTCTGAATTAGATGGGGAGGATTAGAAAGGTGATAAAAGCTAAGCCAGGAGAAAATAAGATGATAAATAGGTCTGGCAAGATAGATGGATAATCTTCCTCCCAGGCCAAACCTGACAGGATAATCACCTTTTTCTGTTCTCTGGTTCCATTTGCTCTCGGATCTTCACAGCTTTACAGATATCACTGGATTTGGTTTTCTGGTACCCTGGAAAAGGGGGACACAACGTCCATCTTTCCAGACAAGGGATCTGAGGTGCCTGACTTAGGAGTGGGTTTAGGTTTAAGATTAGGGTTGCAAAAATGAGCCAAACTGTTGCCTTTTGCTGGTTCGTTTCTCGTCTCTCGCTGTGCCTCAGGCAGAGCTGTTCCCTGAGGAGGAGCTGCTCAAACCAGGGCTTTTCCCAGCTCACCTCTTCCCAGAGCCAGAGCAGGAGAAGTCCTGTCCTCTCCCAGATGTATCTTTGTTCCTGTCACCAGGCTGAGCTGGGAACATCCAGAGCCAGGTGATTCCCAGAGCTGCGAGGGCACAGCTCTGCTCCTGCTCCCTGCTCCTGGTGGGATCTGCATCCAGCAGTGCCCCTGGCCATGGCAGCAGGGGAAACTGTCCTCCTGTCCCCTCTGTCCCCTCTGTCCCCTCAGCTTTCAGGTTATAAATCACCTCTGAGCAAATCCAAACAACACATTTGAGCTATAACCAATAAGCTCATTAAACATTCCAGGCTGTGAGGCTCTTTCCCAGTTCGGAGAAGACTTGTCTGAACTGGCCTTTGCTCTCCTTGCTCCAGGGAAATTCCCATTGCTCCTGCTAAATCCATGAGCCTACAAAGCACTGAACCCTTTTTTGCAGACAGGGACACCTTGTCTGAGGGGAGGAACTCAGGGAAGTTTTCCATCAGTTCATGGCATTGATTCCTCCCCGAACATTCGACTGGAATATTTGATCAGCCAGAATTACAGACCACAACATTAATAATTTTGTGAGCTAGACTGGAAAGATTTGCACTTGTTCTTGCTGGGAATGGTGCAATTGTCTCCTCCTTTTTAAGAGAAACTCTGCTCTAATGGCTGGGTGCATTGTCATCCTACAGGAGCAGGGACTGACTATTCCTCCTCATTTTTGGGGGGCTTGAATCCATGAGATTTTCACCTGGGCTGGAATCTTGTAGGGGGATTGTTCATCGTGGTAATGGATTTTCAGAAGAAGTCAGCAATTTTGGATGCCTTATATTTGTGTTTGAGACACTTTGAAAGGGACTGATTGTGAGAGGTGGGTGCTTAGAGGGCCCTGAAAATCAGGATTAATTGGACTATGTCATGCTGGGCACCTGAAAACACTAAATGCTTTGGAAAAATCACAGGGGAGGAGGCTCTGCTTCTGAACATGATTTGGGAAGACTGCACAGCCTTAAGTAACACAGGATAAAGAGAAGATCTTTGCATAACCTGATGGAAACATCCTTTAATCCTCGGTGCCTGACTTTAGGTGGCATTTGATTCCTGAGTGAGTTCAGTGCTGGAGTTTGTGCAAGTGCACTTGTATTTTCCTGCTGTTGTGTGAGTTACTGTAGGTTTGGTTTGTGAGAGTTTCTGAGTAGGTCTCTAAAATAAAATAAATCAGAAGGCAAAGTTCTCCCCTTGGATAGGACACGGAGGCCTTGTAGGCTTTCTGTGCTGTCACCTGCAGAACCACAGGCTGTGCCATGAAATATCCATTCTTTGCACTTCCTAAGCCCCTGAGCCTGAGTCCCAAAACCAGAATCACACCCAACTCCTCCCCTCATCCATCAGCAACCATGGAAAAATCCTTGGTAGAGCCTCCCTTCCAGCTCAGAGCCAACACCTCGGTGTTGACCCTCGGCCGCTGCTACACCCGGAGCTGTGTCTGTTTATAAACTCTGTTTGTAAACGAGGTGAAACTAAAAAAAACCATCCTGGTTATCCCAGTTATGCCCCAGGAAGGGCACAATGGCCACTGGCAGGAGCCATCTGGCCTCTGTAAACAAGGGCTCCTGGAGTCAGGGTGTGAGTGCAGGGCGGGAAAGGCCCAATTCCTGCACGGGCCGTGAGGAGCCCTGGGCTCAGGGACGGCTCAAAGCTCTGCTGAGTCCAACAAAAATGTGGCAATAAGGGTTTTTTCCTGTTGCAGGGTCAAACTACAGGGCTGAGCTGGTTTTGGGGCACAGGCTGGATATTTCTGGGTGCAGGAGTCAGGGCAGTGCATGTCCAGCCTGAGCTTTCAGAGCTGCTGGGAGGGCAATTCCTCTTAATCTCAGCCAGTGCTGAAGGCTCCAGATATCCTGGGAAGCCTTGGGATACTCAAACCCAAAGATCAATATTGAATATTGTATTAGCTGTTCCTGAGCTTTTTTTTTTTTCTTTTCTTTTCTTTTCTTTTCTTTTCTGGTTCTGTCTCCAGGCTGAAATTTAGGAGATTTTATTACATTAATATCCCAGCACCTGTTTTAGTAAGGACACAGTTTAGAAAGGCACCTCAGCATTTAAAGACAGATCATTTTAATAGGATTTACCAATTAATTTAGAACCCCACTCCTACTCATTTTCAGGTGAGGTGTGTGCTGACTTGTTTTACAAACCCCACCACAACACTGGTTTGTTCTAAACTCACTCAATTTTAGCAAGGTGTTAAATAATGACAGACTTTGAGGCCACACACGGATCCCAACAGCCCTCAGGGAAACACCTACATCAATTTTATCACCTGCTTTCCATCACTTCTCTGCTTTGAGTCCCTTTCTGGGCCTCAGGGTGGCTCCATGGGAGGTTTATTTCTTTTGCTTTCCTGGAGGGGGTTGAATTCAGTAACTCAACAGAGACAACTCCCGTTGATCCACAGTGAGAGATTATTTACAAGGGCCTGGAGGGACAGGACAAGGGGAATGGCTTCAAACTGAAAGAGGGGAAATTTAGATGGGATATTAGGAAAGAATTCTTGGCTGTGAGGGTGGGGAGGGACTGGGATGGATTTCCCAGAGCAGCTGTGGCTGCCCCATCCCTGGAAGTGTCCAAGGCCAGGTTGGAGCAACCCGGGATAGTGGAAGGTGTCCCTGCCCATGGCAGGGGGTGGAATGGGATGAGCTTTAAGATCCTTCCAACCCAAACCATTCTGGGATTTGGGCAAGCAGAGAAGCCAAATTCTTGGCTCAGAGTCCCTTCAGCTCCTGTTTGGGCCCTGAACAAGCCCCTGGAACAGGAGTGTGGGGCAGAAGGAGTCTCTACCCGAGGGAGAACGACCTCCCCGTGTCCGTCCGAGCTCAAAAGCTGCCGCAGATCTGGCGTCTCAAACCCACTCTCCTTTTCCTGCTGAGATTCCCAAGCACCTCCCAGTCTCCCAGCTACTACCAGATGCCACAATTGCACACAGACAAATATTTGTGCAAGGCACACAGAGCCCGGAGGCTGGAACACTGTCTGTCTGCGGGGAGCAGGAGAAGGGGAGGAGGATCCTGGGGTTATTTCTATTTGATTTGAGCCAACAAAAATCTACAGGGTGTTTATTTCCTACAAAACTTCCCATGTTTCCTTCCAACAGGTGATGTGGGACCGGCCTGACAGACTGATTTCCAGTTTAGTTGTTTTGCTGAGTACTTAAAGGGTCAGGAATTAAACTGAATTTAGATCAGACCTTACCCTGAATCCCCTGTTCTTCAGAGACCTCTGTCAGGGACAGGGTTGGATCCACCTATGACATCTACAGAAAATGGCCAGTGAAAAATAAAGAAGTGACAAAATGTGCCCTGAATGAATGGAAATGTAACTTTGATCAAGCAATGCTCTGAACAACACCAAATTTAGTTAGCTTCGAGGATATGATATCATCTGCCCTCCTATTTTTTATATTAAATATGAAATTTGATTAGGAGATTTCCCAGAATGAGGAATAAACCCATAAAAAGCAGGAATAGGTATTTGGTGCAATATAATTTTCTGGCTTCTTCTGTTTGGGAGCAAAGAACGTGATTTTCTTCCCCTCCCTTATTTTACAGCTGAACTTCAAAGGGAAAAATGCCTGATATTGGTGCTGGAAGAGACAAGGCACTGCCCAAACTGACCCTCAGATTTAGGGCAGATCAGAGTCACTGTGCACAGAGAACTGATGGGAGATCTAAAGAGATTTACAGAGAGATAACAAAGATATCTCTCCACTCAAATTCCATAGGGAAGCATTTCCACTCCATAGTTTTTTTCAGTGTCTATAATATGTCTTTGAAGGCCATGTGGATATTCAAGCCCTTAAAGGAAATAACTCTCTTTTCAGGTGTTTTTCTTTTTTTTTTCTCCCCCCAAATATTTAATTCTGAAACAGCAAATAGGAGTTTCCTTAAAATGGAGAACAGCTTGTTTCCATTTCCTCTCAGAGGCCAACATTACTCAGGAAAAATCCAGGTGTAAAGACAGGAGATGGGGCCAGGCTGAGCCTGGATTAAATCACCTTGTTGAGCCTCTGCTCAGCAAAGTGTTCAAACCCACTTTTAGCAGGGCTGGGGGAGAATTTCCAGTGAACAGGGATTCGTTTAGTGAACCTCAGCTTCCAAAAATGGAGCTAAAACAAATGCAGCAAATCCCTTCATCTGACAATAGCTCTGTGAAATGCTCCATTTCCAAAGTGCTCCAGCACTTCAACGTTTTAGCTTTTCTATTTTCTCTGTTAGAGCCTTGGTTTAATAATCCAAAGAGGAAAAAATGTTTTGTTTCAGCTCGAGACAGAGTTGAATACTTTGTTATTTTGGCAAAATAAAATAAAATAAAAAAAATCAAAAAAACCCACTCAAACCAAGCAAACAAAACACTTTGTTTAATTGGATCCCGCTTGATTTTTAATTTTTTTTGAGAAGAACATTTTGGGGAAAAAATCCAATTTAGCCATTGAGCACTTTAATATAACACAATCTGTCAACAGACCCAAAGTGTAGCACCACATCAAGGCAAATTTTGAGTACTCAGAGAGAACCAAGCACAGAGGAAAAATATTTTCAAACAGCTGTTCACTGAAGCATTGGCTCCCCAAAGCACCTTGGGGAAATATCCCGTTTCTCCTACAAACTAGGGAATATTAAGAACAACTTTACACATGAACCACCAGTCAGCCACACTTTCAAAACAAGGATTTGGGGGGTTTTCCAACACAAAGCTTTGATGTCGAGCAGGTGCAGGTTACATTTGGATTCGTACAATCATTCCTGGCTTTCCAAATGGTTTTATTCCCTGCCCTACCCCGGGCTGTGAGTGTGTCCCACCTGGGCAGGGATGTTTGGAAAAGGCGTCTGCATCAGTCCCAGTCCATCCCAGTGTCCCACCTCAGCCAGCCCTTGGCTCTTGGCTGGATCCCAAACTGCCCCCCGAGTGCTCGGGGTGATCTCCCGACCCTCCTGTGTCCCTGCCCGGGAAAAGGACCGGGACGCGACCCGGGCATCCCTGCCCTGGCACCGGGCACCCGCGGGCAGCGAGCCGAGCTGTGCCGCTCCCTCATCCCGCTCTCCTGCCTTCCCTCTCCCGCAGAGACCCCTCCGGGGCTGGACTCACCTCCCTGGCCCGGGAACAGTCCAGCGTCGCCTCGGGGACCTGCCGTGATCTCCGGGGAGGGTCCGGGCGGGTGCCGGTGCCCGGTGCCCGGTCAGGGATGCCCGGGTCGTGTCCCGGTCCAGCCCCGGAGGCGCCGCCGGGCGCTGTCCGTGGTGCTGATGGCGGCATCCTGCCGGGATCCCTCCGGGATACGGCCAGGAACCCCCCTCGGCCCCAGAGCCAGGGCCGGGGGAGGCCGGACCCGTCCCCCGAGCATCCCCCGAGCATCCCCCGAGCATCCCCCGCGGTCCCGGTGCCCGAGGAGCCGCCGGCAGAGGCGGGACGGGCTCCACAGGTGCCCCCGCGGGGCTCACCTGGCGCTGGGTCACCTGCGCGGCGGAGGGGCCGGGGAAGCTGCCCTGCCTCTGCCTCGGGGCTTTTATGGGGCCGCCGGGGGGGCGGCGGGAGGAGCGGCCGGGCGGGGACTGTCGGGCTCGGCCAACGGGAGCGGCTGTCGGGGCAGCTGCGGCAGCATTACATCATGGACCCGCCCGCGCTTCGCTCCGACAGCCTCTGCCGCCGGCTCGGCGGCGAGGGGGGACAGCAACAGGTCCGTCCGGGGGGCACGGAGCCCCTGGAAACGGGGCAGCGGACGGGAAGGGCGCTCGGAGCTCTGCCCGGGAGGGGGGAAAGCCCGCCGGGAGAACCCGCCCGGCTCGGCCCGTGCTCCGCGCTGATGCTTCCTGGGGGTCGGTGGCTCCGCGTTTCCCAGGATCAAACCCCCCCCGGCCCGTTCTTTCCGCCGCTGGGGGTCCTTTCCCTCTGATTTCCCAGCCCAGTGGACAAGCCAAGCTTCACCCTGAATTCCCAGCCTTTTCCATCCTGTTTTTGGAGCGTGCACAAAGCCCAACCCTCCGTTTCTTCCCGGAGGCACCGAGCTGACGGGCAGCCCTGATCTGAGGACCTGGAATCCGTGTGGAACTCTCCCGTTCCCGGAGCAGGGAGGTCAGACAGCTCGAGAGCACAGCACTCCCCAGGGAAAACAAATGTATTCCCAAACGCCCTCTTCAGCTGGGATGGGTTTGTGTTGTGCCTCTTAGATGGCAAACACACAGGCTGCAGACATCAATCCTTCAAGACTGTCCTAAATTATCCTAAATTATCAGTCGGGGTAAAGCTTTGTCTTCTGACATATCCTGTGCACGGGATGTGTTATCATCTGATACCAAAGGATAAGTAATAATTGTTTGCAACATTAATTAGACAGAAATCAAAATGGCCCAGAGTTAAAGGCTCAGTGTGGGTAATACTTGAGACCCACATTCAGGTCTGATTTTGGGATCTTCTGCAGGAAAATATGAGGCTCCAAAGCCCTGTGAATGAGAGCAGATGACCTGAAGGACCCTATTTTCAAGTGGCACTGGCTGCTATTCAAATTACAGCACAATTAGAATCAAACCAGGTGCTCTGTTTCCAACTCTTTTTGTTCGTTTGTTTTCCATGCCAGTCGTGGATGATGGGCCAAATCCTTGGCCTGGCTCCCACCAACCCAGAACCTGTGGCTGTTGCCTGAGGTAAAATCTGGGTTTGAGCAGAATGTCCCCGGGTGTGACACCAACCAGTGACAGCCCCTGAAGGAGGGGATGGCACTGGCAGCACCCACTGACCTTGTGCTGCATTAATCACAGCACAAAGAACGTGGGCTGGTGCTCAGGTAAAAGGAGATGTCACAGCCTTGTTAGTGCCTGGCCTTGGAGGGATTTTCATTCAAGAGCCAAACCTGGAAGCTCTTGGCTCTGTCCTGGCAAAGCAGGAGTTTGGGGGAAAAGGGAAGGTGAAGCTGTAAAACAGCATCTTGTAGGAAATGCTGAGGGTGCCCAAGTCCCTCCACAATGCACCTCAGAGGACAGTGAGCCTTGGGGACATAATTTCCTTAGAAGATCCCACCAGAAAGGAAAGCCAGAGTGAGGGAAAGGCAGCACTCAGTGCTCCTGGCTGTTGTTACCCAGCTGGGTCCCTTCATCCTTAGTTTTCCTTTTCCCTCCTGTGCTCACCAGGACTCTCCCAATTTGCTCTCAGCTCAGTGTTAGTGTGGCCCCTGGTCCAGGGCCTTTCTGCCTCTGAAACCCAAGTCAAATGGAGAAAGGCCCTGCTGAGGTTAAAGAAATGGGCCACGAGGGATGATGGAGAATAAACCCTCCAGCTGTGTATCATAGGAAAGAAAAATCAGAGGATGGTTTCATTTGGAAGGGACATTAAAGCCAATCCAGTGCCAACCTGTGCCATGGGCAGGGACACCTTCCACTAGCCCAGGTTGCTCCAACCTGGCCTTGGACACTTCCAGGCATAGGGCAGGTGCCCACAACTTCTCTGGGCAACCTGTGCCAGGGCCTCCCCACCATCACAGGAAGAATTTCATCTCAGTATCCCATCTCTCCCTGCCTTCTGGCAGTGGGAATCCATTCCCCCGTCCTGTCCCCCCAGACCCTTGTCCAAAGTCCCTCTCCAGCACTTTGGAGCCCCTTTAGGCATTGGAAGGGTCTCCCTGGAGCCTTCTCTCCTCCAGGTGAACACCCCCAGCTCTCCCAGTTCCAGTTCTCTGTCTCTACAAAGAACAGCCATTTTACAGCAGTTCACAAGGGGTGAGACTCGTGCAGGCCCTGCTGTTCTCCTGGGAGCTGCAGCCTCTTCTCTGAGGGCTCTTGGGCAGCACCTTGGATTCAAGTCCTCTCCGTGCCATCTGGGAAAAGTCATTTTGCCCAGCAAATTCAGTTGAGATTTCAGAAACATGATTTTCAGGGGGATCCAAGTCGTGAACACGAGCTTTGCCTGTCCAGTCCAAAGTGTCTCAAGCCTGAACTACTCATTCCAAAGATGCATTTGAAATACTGGGCTTACTGCCAGTAGAGACCTGAAAACTCTCTGTGTCCACTGCACGTTGATTCCCTCCGGCTTTCCCACCTCGGGAGACTCCTCTGCCTCACTCATTTGCATCCAAGATTTGTGGGAGCGGGGATGAGAGAGATTTCTTTTCACGGAGGAAGTCTGACATGAACTTAGAAGCCACGACAGGAAAGGTCACCACCGTTTGATCGAATCACTCCGAGTTGTTTTCCACCCCCTACTCGGAGCAGCCCTCTGGGCTCGGTAATTAGCGACGGAGGGAAGGGGGGAGCGCGCTGGACTTTGGCCCCATCTGACCTGATTCGTACAACACGGCTGATTAATGCACCTGGTCACATGGCAGCTGCCAGCGACTTGTTGCTGGGCATCCAGAGGTTTCCAAGGGAACCGCTCCTTCTCCTGCCGCTGCTCCTCAACAAGTGCGGGAGAGCCGCGCTTCGGCTCCGAGGGCCGGGCGGGAGCGAAGGCGCGCGGAGGAACACCCAAAAAATAGGAGCACCCGCGTGGAATTTAGGGATGGAGTGGCTCGGACGGATCCTGTGGGATCGCTCAGCCCTCCCCGTGCAGCCCCCCCTGTAGCTCCACAGCTATCCCAGCCCACGCTCGTGCACGATCCCACCCCCCCCCCCGCATCCAACCCCAAACCGCATCCCAAACAAAACAACAGCTCCGGACGAGCGCAGACACGCTCCCGGCCCCCGGGGTTTCTCCTCCTCCCGGAGGAGCCCCAGCACACGTTTGAGACTCTTTCGCCGAGGTGTGTTTAAAACTCTCTTTTAATCACCAAGACCTCGGTCCAGTCCCCCGGGGCGCTTTTCCACCGCTGCGCTCCCGGCTCCAGCCTCCCTTCGTGGACTGGCACAGGGCTCCCGCGTACACCAATCTCCTGTCCCTCCCCCAAAATCCCTCTCCCTGCCCACACGCGGGCGTGGCGGCTTCCACACACCCCCGGCAGCTCCTCACACCTCCCTCCACACGTCCTTCCCCCTGCGGGCATCTCCCTCTGGGCGCTGCACACTCACACCCCTCCTGCCCGCGAGTCCTGCTGGTTTGCACACAGACCACAGAGTCAGAGGCGTGTTCGAGTCGGGAAAAGGTCTCTAAGACCATCGATTGCTGCCAAAATCTACCTATAAACCTTCTTTCGGTGCAAAGGGAAACTGAGGCACAGGCAGCCCCTCCAAAGCTCCCTGCAGTTCAAACACTCCAAACCACAGCTCTGAACGTGGCAGGAGGTGGCTCCA